TTTGATGCGTTTCACCCACTTTCTGCATTACACTGTTTTATTAAAATACAAACAGGAGATGCTTGACCTGGAAAAGACAAAGGTGTTTCCACCAGTACTAACTAGGAGCTGCCTTTAATGATTTTAAAAAAGAAATAAAAACAACAGACCTATTATGCTATAATATGGCAGTAGCAGTTGTGCAATATGCCCTATTACTACTGACGTCGTGAAATAATATAAAAATATAAGCTTGAAAATCCCATAAAATAACATTCAAAATGAAATAAAAAATTTCACTATGAATTTTTAAAATTCTAAAACAACATCTTTCCCAAAACAAAATTTTCCAGACATTCTGTTTCGCAGAAAATGTAGAATTTTTTTTCCTGATTTGGGACAAAAAAAAATTCAAAATGTCAACTTTCCCCATGAAACAGAAATATTGAGTTTTGATGAGCTCTAGACAATACAAACATAGTTAGACGCTTTGCCTTATCATTAGTATAGCCCTTCTGTAATTAAACCCCTTAGGCCTGGTCTACACTAGGACTTTAATTCGGATTTAGCTGCGTTAATCCGAATTAACCCTTCACCCGTCCACACTACAGAGCCAGTTAATTCGAATTAAAGGGCACTTAAAATCGATTTCTGTACTCCACCTCGACGAGCGGAGTAACGCCTAAATCGATTTTGTTAATTAGAATTAGGGTTAGTGTGGCCGCACACCACCGAATTACTGTGTTTAAGTTAATGGGGTAGTGTGGCCGCACACCACCGAATTAATGTGGTTAAAAACCGAATTAAGGTGCTTAGTGTGGCCGCGCACAATCGAATTTATACAACCTGTTTCCCAAATTCGAATTATCTAAATTCGGATTAATCCTGTAGTGTAGACATACCCTTAGTCATTGATTGCATTTAATGTAATCTCCACCTCATGAAACTATCCTCTCTAATCCTGCCATTGCTTCTCTTTAAACTGCCAGTGGGACTTGAAGCCAGGAATTTCTGAGCTCTAATCCTCACTCTACCCGAGTCACTGTGTGAATTGCTCATGATCATTTCTCTATTTCTTTCCCCATTTCTTAAACAGGGATGATAATATTGATTTTCCTAACTCTCAGGGATATTGGGGCAGATTACTGTTACTGTTCATATGGTGTTTGCATATAAAGAGTTATGTTTAAATATTAATATTACCGACCATATCACCTCCTTACACATTTCCACTCATTATGGCAAAATCCTATTCTGGATTTTCTTTTTCTATTTTTTCTTCTCTACTTTCTGCTATTCTTTCCATAGTATATCTATTAATCAAAGCTATTGCTCTCTTCAAATTTAAAATCCTCAGTAAGAGCACCAGTCTTTGACTTTGTACCCTGCATTTTGTGCAGTGGGTCTTGCAAGCCAAAATTTTAAACCAGCTGTTTTCATTATAGCTTTCTTTTTTAGATCAAAGTCCTTGCACTCATACAGCTCTCTGATTTTCTGTCTTGTGGATGGATGTGATATTTTCAGTTTGCTTGTGTCCTTTCATTATAAATGATCCTGCTCTATACTCAAATGTCAAGAGAAGAAACATAATTGTATATGCTTTCACCTTTCTCATACACCATTTGGGGGATAAGAAAAGAATAGTAGAAAATGCAGGATTTTTTCTCCCAGGTTAGACCCATTGATGATAGGTTTGTTTGTGTTTTTACCATTCAAATATATAGCTTAATGATGGTCCATGCACACTATATTCTAATAGCTTATGCATGCAGATGAAAAACAAGGTTCTTAACCAAGTTTTCACCCTTTCTGGCCACCAGTGCTTACCTTCAGTTGTCTCCACAGGAAGTTCTGCATCTGTTTTTGTAATAAATGAGAATGTAAAATTTGTGCCATGGTGAATGTGCTGCCAGTATCAAGCCTACATTTCTCAGCACTTGGGAATTTAGAAAAGCACTTGGGACTTAGGAAGACCAATACATTCCTATCTCAATTGCAACAGCCAAAGATTGTTTCCTTTTCTTACCTGATGGCAATACTGGCTTTTCTTGAGAGAAAGTTGGCAATCTCCCAGACTTTCTACATAGGAGTGAGTTATGGGCAGGCACAGTGGTTGGCCTGTTAGCGCAAGGACAGGGAGATATGGACTCTGAAATACAAACAGGAGGAACTGGCTTATGCTCCTTAATATGGGTTACTGAATAGGCAAAATCAAGCTCCTCTTGAAAGGGAGAACCACAAGAACTCTTCCTTACTAACTGTTGTTCACTCTATGCATCCGAAGAAGTGAGGTTTTTACTCACGAAAGCTCATGCCCAAATAAATCTGTTAGTCTTTAAGGTGCCACCAGACTCCTTGTTGTTTTTGTAGATACAGACTAACACGGCTACCCCCTGATATTTAACTGTTGTATAGGCATTTTAGTGGGGCCACTTGCTTATTGTCCCAGTACAAGAGAAAGGGAGAGAAAAGGGGAGGAACACATATACATATTTCAATGAATAAATGAGTAGCTATAAATGTTAAGCAGATGACAAGTTAATATAAAACAGCCTGCTTTTTAACAAGGATTTCAGCACTCAAATGTATTAGGTAAGTAAAACTGTCAAACATTTCCTGTATAATGCTCATTTAGGGGGAATGAAGGAAACTGTTTTCCATGTCAAACACCATGGGTAAGTCTAAGCTGCAATTAAAAAAAAAAAACACAGCAGAGAGTCTCAGAGCCCAAGTCGATTGACTCAGGCTTGTGGGACTTGGGCTGTGTGGCTCAAGTATAGATATTTGGGCTTGGGTTGGAGCTCAGGAGCCTGAATATCTACAGGCCTATTTTTAGCCCTGTGAGTGTAGCTCTGCAAGTCTGAGTCACTTGACCTGGACTCTGAAACTCAGTGCTTGCGGGTCTTTTATTACAGCATAGATATACCCCATATTTTATGTACATCTTCTGGTATCCACTTCAAACCCATTATGCATAACAATCTAACCCTCAGTTGCCCACTTCAATTCAGGTGACTGCCTACAACATGCATTACCCCTTATGCATAACAATCTGTCTCAACTTGTAGTTAGCTCAGACACTCTGATTTCTTTTCCCAGACCTGAAGTAGAGCTCTGTGTAGCTCAAAAGCATGTACCTTCCACCAACAGAAGATGGTCCAATACAAGACATTACTTCCCCTACCTTGTGTCTCATATTGTGGGACCAGCACAGCTACGTCACCACCGCAAACATTTTTTTTATTTGTCTACTTTGCTAGTTAGTCTTTAATTTTTATCCATATCCTGTTGTGTATTTTGACATTCTTGCAGGGTAGGTCTGGGTGAAAAGAATGCATTCTGTCCCCCAACCATTTCTGTTTTTCTTTTTTTTAAATCAGAGCACATTGCAGAAAGCTGACTACTAAGATAAAGTATTTCCTCTCCATTTAGATTGCAGTCCACCCCTGCAGTTCAAATCCCTCTTCTAACAGTCAAACTTTTTGAGGAAGGATGGTCTTGCAGTTAAGACACAGGTCTGGACATCAAGTAGTTGAATCTTACAAAACAGTGTTCACAAACATTTGTTCAGATTCCACGTGGCTGTTTGGTCCCTAGCTATGAATAGTCACACAAACAGGTTTCTCTTCTCACTAATGTTTGGGAAATAGCTGTTCTTTGTATATATGTCTCTATTCTCATGCAAACAAGCTATACATTGTTAACTATTCATTAGTATCTGTGTTCATGGTTTAAAAGTTTGTTTCTGCTCTCTGAGTGGATGATAATGCCACATGACATAGAGGACCAATCATACACTATAAATGATGAATAGTTGAAGTTAACAGTGGATAATCAATCAATGTTCTGAAATTTGTTCACAAAAACAGTTTAAACAGTCCTGAATAGCAAATTAACTTGTAAGAATAAAAGTCTGAATGAATTACAACAAAAAAGAGCTAAATTCATCAGATTATTTACAATGAGCAGTTTAACCAGCTGTAGTGTCACATACAAAATGGGAAATGACTGCCTAGGAAGGAGTATTGTGGAAAGGGATCTGGGGGTCATAGTGGACCACAAGCTTAATATGAGTGAACAGTGCAACAGCTGTTGCAAAAAAAGCTAACATCATTCTGGGATGTATTAGCAGGAGTGTTGTATTCAAGACACGAAAAGTAGTTCTTGGGCTCTACTCCATGCTGATTAGGCCTCAACTGGAGTGTTGTGTCCAGTTCTGGGTGCCACATTTCAGGAAAGATATGGACAAATTGGAGAGAGTCCAGAAAAAAGCAACAAAAATGATTAAAGGTCTAGAAAACATGACCTATGAGGGAAGATGCAAAAAACTGGGTTTGTTTAGTCTGGAAAAGAGAAGACTGAGGGGGGACATGATAATAGTTTTTAAGTACATAAAAAGATGTTACAAGGAGGAGGGAGAAGAATTGTTCTTCTTAACCTCTAAGGATCGGACAAGAAACAATGGGCTTAAATTGCAGGAAAGGAGGTTTAGGTTGGACATTAGGAAAAACTTCCTAACTGTGAGGGTGGTTAACCACTGGAATAAATTGCCTAGGGAGGTTGTGGAATCTCCATCATTGGAGATTTTTAAGAGCAGGTTGGACAAACTCCTGTCAGTAATGGTCTAGATAATACTTAGTCCTGCTGTGAGTGCAGTGCACTGGACTAGATGACCTCTCGAGGTCCCTTCCAGTCCTATGATTCTACCTTATGTGATCCTGAGTAAATCATTTAACATCTTTGACCCTCTATTTCCACCTCTGTAAAATGGGAATAATGCATTTATTACTTACCTACCTTAGAGAGAGGCTGTGAAGTGCTTGGAAAGGAAGGGCTCTGAAAGGTCAGCTGTTAAATACTCATTATCTACTGGGACAGTTCATCAATTCCTGACTTGTCTTGACTTTTCTGTGTTCAAGAATTGAGTGAATCAAAGCAAGCTGCAAATGTTTCAGCTCAATATTCTGTGGCTTAGCTATCTGCTTTAAACGTGTTGTGTGATGTATACTTTTTTCTTTCAGAATTATGGTTTGGAGACAGAAAACCTGAGAACACTCTCTCACAAGCTGAATGCCTCAGCCAAAAATCTTCAGAACTTTATAACGGGTAGAAGGAGGAGTGGCCATTATGATGGCAGGGCCTCCAGACGACTGCCAAATGATTTTCTTACCTCTGTTGTTGACCTGATTGGTGCTGCAAAGAACTTGCTAGCCTGGCTGGACAGGTAATTTAGAGCTTTTTAATTCTTACGGTGGAGGGGGGAGGGAGAAGAGTAATTCTTTTGCCGTTTGTTTCTTTTTCTCTTGCTCTTTTCTCTTTCTCTTATTCTAGTACTAGAATTGTAATTATAGGTTTTACTTTGTAAATTTTGTTATATACTTGAGTTCCAGGCTGAATAGGCCTGTGTCAGGGGCCGGCTGTGGGATTTTTGGAGTCTCTTTGCTGTGAAATTAGCAATTTCAGTCTTGTTCCTAGTGAATGGCAAAAATTGCCACTACAGATGGCAGGATCGTTTCAATTTCAGAAGGAAGGATAAGGGATAAATTAACATAGAAACTGAGCTGCCCTATAACCAGAGCAAAGAGTGGTCCTGACCATTCAGGGCTGACGCAAATTAAGAGAGCAGTGTAGGGAAATTTGAACTGCTGCTATCCCTGCTGCATACCTGTTCTTGGATAATTTCTAAAAGAAATTATACTGCTTGCTTATCTCTGGAAACTCAGAGCTTACTAGTTGACTTTTTGTTAACAGTAGAGGGCAGGTTCATACATTAGTCACTCTTGTCACATTAATTACTGCTTGATGAGAGAATGCTATGATTTCTTATTGATGAATTAGGAATCAGTTTACAAAGTAACTCTCTGCATGAACTGTGTTAAAATATTGATTATGTATGAACTACTATTTTATACGTACACTGCATTTCTCTATAGAAGTGAATAGCTTCAGTTGAAATCTGAAACTATTGTGCATATAAATGAATTACATGACCATTCTTCACAAAGCTTGTTATGACCCTGATGACATTCTCTGACCTAATGCTAGCAATCAAGCTCTCCTGGAATGTAATCTCATCAGTCTTTATAAGCCAAATGGGTCAGATCCGAACAGTACTTGGAGACTCCAAGGAAAACCCAGGTCCTGCAGGAAGTTGGGTTAGTAGCTCAGTAAATGGCACTCGTCCCTCTTAGTTAATACTGAACTAAGGCTATAGTTTGCCCCTAAGGTGCAGAGTGCTGCTTGATGTGCTATCTTTTGGATAAGCCATAAAACTAAGGACTTGACTGCTATACTTATTATATCTGCCCAGTGCTGAGGCATATCAAACATCTAAGGTACTAGAAGCATGCCAGGTACATCCTGCAGTCACACATTGTTCTACATGGGGTTCCTCAGTTTCTGCACAACCTGTACTGTGGGATAGCTCAGTGGTTTGAACATTGGCCTCCTAAACCCAGGGTTGTGAGTTCAATCCTTGAGGGAGCCAAAAAAATAATAATTGGGGATTAGGTCCTGCTTTGAGCAGGGGGTTGGACTAGATGACCTCCTGAGGTCTCTTCCAACCCTGATATTCTATGATTACAGGAAGGTACAGCTCAGTAACACAGATTGCTGAGGTCTACAAACTTGTTGTCCTTCTCTGGCAGGTCTCCATTTGTCAGTGTGACAGAATACTCACTGCTGAAAAACAATATTGTTCAACTGTGCCTGGAATTAACAACCATCGTGCAACAGGTAAGAACAGGTTTATTGTATGCCATACCTAAATCACTTCCACATTGCTGAAGAAAGAGTAAAATATTACAAAAAATTGTTAGAAATGTGTCACCTCATCAGGAGAATTTGTGTGCGTTTTGGGGGCTGGTGGGAGTGGAGGGAGGAGGTGTGTGTGTGCTACATCTCAGTTGCAACTACAGTAATTATTTACTAGTAATATTAGGAAAGAATGTTTGTATTTTAATTGTTTTCAAGGATATTGGTGGGTTTTCTCTCCAAAAAGTAAAAACAAATTATTGCAGTATCTCCAGCTGATCCTCACTTCATCATCCCCTTTTCCTCCCCCAACATATTCTATTCCCCTCTTTCCCTGATTTCCAGCATATGATTCCTTGCTGTATGCTTTCTTGTTGCTTACCCAACTGATACATATTAGACTTGAAGTTTTTCATCATAAATCAGACAGCCACCAGACCCCTAATCATTTTGTTGTTCTCTGAAGTCCCTGAAATTAGTCAATATATTTCTGATAATAAGGTGTCTTGAATTTAACACACAATATTCCATGTTCCCTGCTAAATGTTGTCAAAGATAAGCTAAAAGTGGATGCATAGACAAGAGCTAGACAAATACAATAGAAGTATATATTTATAAAAATCGTTGTGAATAAAACCTGCCAATTCACTTCATTGGTATCCATGACCCTTTCATTTGCAATTTGAAGTATTACTGTGAGCAAGACTAAATTTCCAAGAATGTTCGTAGAAAGTGAAAGCATCATGATTACTAATGCAGCATCACAAGAGCAGGCAGAGAGCACAGATAGCAAAGGAGGATGCAGATTTTGCCTTGTCTATACCTGATTGGACAGGGCAAAGCAGCTGCAGAAAAGAAGATGAGTGGGCTATACTGGCAAATGGACAGCAAGAGATTGTCACTTGGAGCCTAGCAGTTCAAAAGTGTCTAATCTAAACTAAATAAAATCGGCAGAAAAAGGTATATTTCTGATGTAAATCTACAGATTTTAGAAAGGGCCTCATGTAATCTTAACCTTTGAGATTTATTTAATAAAAACGCACTATTGACTTTCTCTCCTTAAAATTCAAATCTATTAAATAAGCAAGAACAGATTTAAAGAATTGTGCTGCTAAAACCACACAAGGAAGTCATCTGACTGGGTGATACAACAGCTTTTCAGACACACTGATAAAATTTGTTAGTACCTGGTTGACATAACCTAGGATGTCATGGAAAAAGTAATAAAACTTACAGAAAATTAAGTTTGTTTGTATACAAGGAAAGTTCTACAGTCATTCTGGAAGTGATTAATAAAATGTGGAGATCAACAGTAATTATTTAAGCTTAGAAAATATGTGGATTGCAATGTTGTTATTTCCATGGCAATCATATGTTTGCAATTCAATGGCTGTGTTTCCTCTGAAAATAATTGGTATCCTCTTGATATACAAGTACAGCAAGAATACTGAAGCTCTAGAGCAGTGGTCCCCAAACTTTTAACCTCATGCCTACCCCACACCTCCCACCACTCATGGAACCGGGAGCAGGGACAGGGCTCCGGGAGGGGGAGACATGGATGGGATAAGGGAGCCCAGGCTGGGGCCACAGTTGGGGTGGGGGTGGAAGCGGACCCTTGGCTGGGAACCGAGGCCTGCAGCTGCAGCCGGGCATGGAGCCCTGGGCATGGGGCCATCAGCCAGGACCTCAGGCACAGGGCTGGCAGCCGTGGCCAGGAGTAGATCCCTGGGCGCAAGGCCAGCAGCTGGGACCAGGGCCAGGAGTGGAGCTGGGTGGTGCTCCCTCTCCGCCCCCTGTGGGAGTTGGTCTGGGCCCAGCTGCGCCACCCCGAACGTTTCTCCACACCCCCTAGGGGGGCACGCCCCACAGATTGAAGACCTCTGCTCTAGAGTAAAGTCTGAGTGCATAAGTTTGATTTAGAACTCATCTCACTCTTCCTTGGTCTCACTAATTCCCTATTAGCACCAAGGAGGAGGGAGATAGTGGAAAATGGCATTGCATAGAGCCACAAAATAATCATAGCTGAATATCTTAATACTGAGATCCCATGTTGCGTTAATATGTGAAGATGATGCATCAGAAAAACAGAATCTTATATCATAACACACTATTAGGACACAGTGTTGATAATATTTTGTGGCTCTCCACTGACTCAGTTGGATGATAAAATGGCACTTTAGCTTTACAAAGCAGACTGCCATTGCTCTAGAAAAATGAATACACCAAATTAATCAAACCTGTTGGCGTACTGCAAAGCCTATCTATTTTCTCTAATGTTGGTGAGGGACAAGGGTATAACAGCTCATATTCTGAGGGAAGGGAGGGTATTTATGTATTTTTCCATGGTCTGGTTAGTTAATTTTCCTTTGGGCTTTGTGGTGAGACTAGGTCCGACTGGATCTGGTATAATTTTGTTGTTTGTGTATGGTAGTAAGATATCTTAAAGATGCTTAGAGCCCGTGATAGGTGCTTTTCTTGTTTATTTTAATCAAAATAAACAATATAATTTAATTTTAACATAGTGCTGTTTGAAATAGTACGATGTTAAAACACACCAAGGAACTTTTAGTGTACACCAGGAGGGTCTACACAGAACAATTAACGCAGCACGTTAGCATACTTTAGAAAGTATGGTGAGCATTACCCCACCCTGTAGTAAAGCCCCTAGATAAGCTAAATAAATTGAGCTACTTCAGTAACTGGTGTGTGTGTTCCATGTCATGAATCATTCATTTAGCTCATTGTGTCTCTCCAAGTTGCAGCTTTTATTTTAAAAAAGGGTGGATACCAAAACTGGACAAGTATTCTAGTTGTAGTCTCAGGTAATATCACTTTTGTACACCTACTTAATATACCCCTATTCTATACATGCAAAAATTGTGTTAACCCTCTTAGCCACAATATCAAAGTGGGAACTCATGTTCAGTTGATTAACAATGAGCCCTAAGTTCTTTTTAGAGTCACTGTTTTCCAGGATACAGTCCTCTATTCCGTAAAAAATGCCCCACATTCTTTATTCTTAGATGAGTGACCTGGCCTTAGTATTAATGCATGCTACTTGATTGTTCCAAGCTTGCAAAGGGTCTAGAGCACTCTATCAGTTGCCTGTGTTTATCATTATTTATCACACAACCAGGCTTTATGTCATCTGCAAACTTTATCATCATAATTGTACATTTCTTCCAGATTATTGATTAAAAAAATTTAATAGCATTTGGTTGAGCATCAATCCTTGTGCGCCCTATGAGGACCGCCACCCCCCCCCCCGACACTCTTGTTGAAGAATCCCCATTAACGATCACATTTTGAGATCAAAAACATTTTGTTCTAAGGATGTGTATTTGTATATTGAGGGCTAAATAGAGTTCTTCGTCTTATATTTGTAACTTACCTTTTCTCTATTTATTTAAATAAATTCAGTATTTTAATCAATTAGAATGATGATGGCATGAGGTACATTGGCAGGGATATTCTGGATGATGCAAGAGCTGGTTGGTATCTTGTTTGAATGTGGATATGTAACACTACTACTACTATTTTGTAGTTCTCTTTATTTTACCATTATATAGAACAGAACTAAATAATGGGTATTCTATAATATAAAAGCCCCAAGTTAAAATCCACCTTTAAACATGTCACTAATCATTTTTTTGGCAAGGGATAAATGTGACACTTTAGCTATCATGTATTTCTTAAGTAAAATAAATAGACTGAAACCCTATGCATGTTAAACCTTGTGGTCTTCTTAACGAGTTTCCCTAATGCATACTACATATCAAAAAGAAAATAATTCACTATAGTATCCTAAGTGTAATGCTCCTAGTGGTCTTAAATGCTTATTTAAACCAGACAGATATAGAAAAAACCTTATACGTATATCTTCTAAATTGTATCCCAATAGCTATTAAAAAAAGAACATCTTTAAATTATAATATAAACTTCAGTATGCAACATAAGCATAGACCCTTTTCTCTAAAATTAATTCATTCTGCTCTACAAAACAGAGAAATTTCAGATTTACTATACATACGAGTCCTTTATTGTTTGACCTGAAATAATTAAGTTTACTCAGAATGAAGCTTACATTTTAATTTAGGTGTCCAAAATACATAATTTAGATTGGAACATTAGCTCTAAAGTACTTGTGGCACCTTAGAGACTAACAAATTTGTTAGTCTCTAAGGTGCCACAAGTACTCCTGTTCTTTTTGCAGATACAGACTAACACCGCTGCTACTCTGAAACCTAGCTCTAAAGTGAAACTCTAAGCCTTGCTCTGATCATTTTATTGTCTTGGTACTTGAAGGGTTAAAGGGAGACAGTATTTAATAAAATGGATATTCTGTTTGAAGTATGTTAAACTAGTAGGAAAAAACTGCCTTAGGCATTGCCAGCCACACTAATTGAATACTTTTTGTGCTGTGGAAAAAAAAGCTAGTATGAATACAGAAAAAACATCAAAGGGATACTTGACCATGGAGTGCAAATAGAAATTCTTCTATATCCCTAAGTTCTTTGGTTCTCACCATCTTCCATTTTAATCTTTTTTTCTTGTACTGACACTAATTTTTTCTCAAAACTGTGTCCATAGAGAAATCAATTTTTGTAAAACAAATCTGATACTCTAAAACAAACTCCATAATGCAATACCTTTAAGCATAAATGGTGAGATTCTTACTCCCTGTACACCAGGTAAAAGGGCTGCAGCTGAGTAAAGAGGCTCTAAAAGTCCAAGGTCTAGCTAGGAAAAGATTCCCGCAGCACAGGAAATGAGGAAGACAGCAGTAGGCTGCCTCCCGAGGTTCTCTTTTCAGGGCCATGCAAGAGGTGTTTGGTGGGGCAGAGGGGCCACAACATACTGCACTGGTGAAATTCTTGGCAGTCCAGGGAAGCTGTAACTTAGGCAGGTCTACACTACAACTTTACATTGGTGCAGCTGCGCCAATGCACCGCATCTGGTGAAGCTGCTCTAAGCAGACGGGA